TTCAGATTATGAGAAACACTAAAAACAAAACGTACAGGCTACCTGAGATATTAGAGAAGGCGAGAGTTGAACTCTTCAATACGATCGTGTGGCCAGCGAGCACGGTGAGTGATCTCCAAATTTTTAACCAAATAATCTTCAATCTTCTTCAAAAAAGAGAATATATTATTAATATATAATAATTTTTTTTTTTTGTAATGACTGTATATATTAAAATTGTATTGTTATTCAATTATTCTTATTTTTCTAATTTCAAGATGTTGTCAACTATGGCACTGTCGATTGCACCTATGTTTATGTGAGGTGACATCTGTCATGTATTGCCAATTTGTCAATGTTTTATTGATTTTTATTTGGTCACTTTGTTGGTGTAACTAAATAATTATAATAACATAAATTAATTCAAAATAAAAGGAATCAATGAATAAATAAATAGAAAATAGGGTCAAACGATTTTGATGATTATTTTTAATAAAAGACTTCTTTTGTGGTGGCCATATTTAAAGTTTATCAAAATTCGACCTGTAGTTTTTGTATTATCCATATTAATACATATTTAATAGACTTTGACTACATTCATGATATACCTACCTACTCATTTTATTTTGTGGAAGTCTTCTTTTTGTTAATTATATGTATTTAAGCCGATTTAGAAAGCTGTTTTCTTATTTGATCAGATGCAGTAGACAAAAGTCAAATATGTTATGACAGCTATCCGCTTCTTAAAAGCCCACCGAGTTTCTCGCCGGTTTTTTTTTATTGCTTAGATGGGTGGACGAGGTCACAGCCCACCTGGTGTTAAGTGGTTACTGGAGCCCATAGACATTTACGACGTAAATGCGACACCCACCTTGAGATATCAGTTCTAAGGTCCAGTAACAATCTTCTCATTGGGTCGCGTTTCCGATCCGGTGGTAAATTCTGCGGAGCACGGCTCTTGCTAGGCTTCGTGTTAGCAACGTCGTCAGATTTAAGCTACGTGAGCTCACCTACTAGTTAAGCTTACGCTGATATTGTCTCTCTAGACTCTAGACAATCAGCTTATATTTCTCTAAGTTTTCCCTACTTATTCGCTGGGACTATGCCAGCTTCGCGCAGACGGGTAGGTGAGCTCACGGAGAGTTTTGCTAACACTAGCCCTAGCAAGAGCAGTGCTTCGTTGAATCTACCACCGGATCGGAATAGCGATCCACTCAGAAACTCATTAGGCGTATCTATGCTTCCACTATAGAGATTATACTTGCTTAATAATCTTCAATGTCAACTGCTTAGTGCGAGCCAAAGTGTACTCTAAGTTGGTTTATTTAAGCTCCTTTTTGGATAACACCGTTGCACCGTTACAGCTGGTCTTCGCGATGTTCTGGCTATTCTACGCGGTGGACAGGGACCTTATATATCCAACTGCAATCGATAAGGCAATAAGTCCAACGTCTAACCACATCATGCACACGTATATACTCCCGTTCGTTTTGTGGGAGATGATGTTTTACTATAGAGAGCGACCTGCAAATGTATTCTGGCGAGCAGCCGCTGTCATATCTTTGGAAGTGATTTATTTTTTGACGTGAGTACAATCCAGAAGAACTTAAAACGGTAATTATCTATTTTGACGTGACAACGTCACGTATAATTCGATGGAGCCAGCTGCGCGCACGAAAAAACATGACTGACGTGCGGCGTTACCTCGCTCTGAGGCGTTCCATCTAAGACCATCTAAGTATGAAGTTCAGTGAAAAGTGAATGTGGTGTCAATTGTTTATAGCAACGATAATTGCGATAATTGAAAAATGAAACCATTCCATCAGTGTTTTCTTATGACGTTGTCACGTTCAACTATCGTCAGTAAACCGACTTGACAGACAACCGATTTTTTTATAGCTTAGATGGGTGGACGAGCTCACAGCCCACCTGGTGTTAAGTGGTTACTGGAGCCCATAGACATCCACAGCGTAAATGCGCCACCCACCTTGAGATATAAGTTCTAAGGTCTCAGTATAGTTACAACGGCTGCCCTACCCTTCAAACCGAAACGCATTACTGCTTCACGGCAGAAACAGGCAGGGTAGTGGTACCCACCCGCGCGGACTCACAAGAGGTCCTACCACCAGTAATAAAGTCCAACCAATAAGTCGGTCTTATTTCTTATTTTTACTACAGCTGCTGGACGAGCTCTGCTGTTAAGTGGTCCCTGGTGCCCATAGACATCAGCAAAGTAAATTCCGGTGCTCACCTGGAGACGTCAGTACTTCTTTTCTTTCTTTGGCCAAATCATGCACGGTCATCCGTTCATAAATTAGGATTCCGTGCTATGGGTACCAGAAACTGACATACATACTTATATACGTTTAAATATATACTAATATAGATAATAAGCACCCAGACAAAGAACAAACAAACCTGTTCATCATACGAATGTTTGCCCGATGTGGGAATCAAACCCACGACCCTCGGCCCAACAGTCAGGCTGCTGACTACTGCACCACCGAATCAGTCAAAAGCACTAAGTTTCATTTTACCCAAATTATAGTTTTTGCGAGTATAATTTTTATTACACGATGTTATTTATTCACTGTGAAGTTATTCGTGAAATATTTGTTGAGTAAGTATTTGAAAACAAAACAACAAAAAATGTTATCTGTCTGTTGGATTTGAACCCCGGCACAACCGCATCGCTCTATACCGACGTCTTATCCGTTGGGCCACGATGACTTAAAATGCGCTAAAATACTATATTGTTTTTTTTTCCTATATTGATGCACAAAATAAATTACAACCATAGAAATTTAAAGTTTAAATATTTAATATAAAAATCTGGATTGCAATTCAAAACAGGTGTGCACACAGAAAAATTATAACAACTGAACAAATGCCTAAAATATATCTTGTGTGTATATATTTTCAGGTTAATATTCGTCAAGATGCACTTCGGAGTGTGGATTTACCCGTTTTTCGGGAAAATCAATGAGTTACTAATTATACCTGGCTCCTTTACAATAATAGCGTTATTTTTGTACGGCACACAGAAACTACAATGGATTTTGTACTCAATGCTGTGGGTGGGAAGGCGAAAACCGATCGTTTTAAAAATAAATTAAAAACAATAAACTAATAATTAAATGATGATTCGTTTTTTTTTGTTTTCTGCTTTTTGTATTTAAAATGACGACTAAAAAAATTAGGGATATCGTATCGGATAATTAAAAAATTGCGACACAATCGAATTATTAAAAATACCACAGTAATTACACATTAATTCCGAGGAATATGTTTTTATTCAAAATGGCGACACACTATCATTGTTCTAGAAGGCAATCTTTATAATTATTACAACCTAAACGTCTTTAGGTCAACATAAAACACCATTTCTTGGTAAGAACTTGTTTGTTCAAAGTGTAAAAATTATTATAAGCTAAAAACCAATAGGAATAGACATGCGAACACCTCTTAACTGTACGTAGAAGTAGATCATTCTATTATTGCTGTTATAATGTTCTAATAACAAAGAGATTATGCTAATGCAATGTTTTGCCTTATTTCTTATGAGTTAAGGTTCCAATTAGAAATTTTCTTTATTTGATATCTAAAAAGCCAAAAAATTCATGACACGCCTTACCTAAAAAAATCGGAGCATTTTATAATTCTAAATTTAATAACACAAATTTCATTTGCTGTTTCAGATTATTTCCGCTATTCTTAATAGCTTAAGATAAGGTCGAAATTCGATTGCATAGGAACTTTTTTATAAAAATGTACGTTTGGAGTGAGAGTAGCTCATAGCCGCTTTCCAATTCACGGTCAAGAGCGTCGGTGTTGTAAGCAGACAAAAGTTTCCGAGATATTACTGTGATTCTTGATATTTTTCTAAAATAAAATAACTTTGTTACTGGATAAACTTTTTTCGTGTATGAACTATTAACCGTCACCGTTATTTGTTTTATTAGAATTTTATTCGAGTAATGATAATGATTCTATTAAAATCGAAACATTGTTATATGAATCGCCATGGTGATTTTTAAAGCAGAAAGTGATAGTCCTTCAGGATGTAAGCACGGAAGCTAACGAACTTTTAGGATCAGGTCCTGGACGCTTCGTGTGGGAGAGTCTGCTGATTTAAACCCAGACAGACTTCTATGGCACGAAACTTTGACCTAGAAGTTTTCTGACTAGCGGCAGATTAGTAGACTAGCATGTCCCGATGCAAAATTAACTTATGACTTATTCATTAAAATCTTAATTGTAGAATATCGTGAACTCGCGCTGGTAAGTATTTCCATAAATAATAAAATCATTATATTTCTGCAACGTAGTTATCCGTCCCCATTTTTCAGTAGGATAGTCATAAAGTTCATTAGAAGTAACGACATCTTCCGCCGAGCGGGTAGTTTTGCTCGGTAGACCGACGGTCCGAATGTTGTTGTTCGGAACTTGTATACTATATGCAAGCTTATTTTGAAATTGTCGTTGGCGAGATTTAGACATCTGTCAAATACCTTGTATTCTATTATAGCTACTGCCACAGTACAATTACAATACGATTAGGATTTTGACCTCGTCTCCATCCCAAGAACAAAAAAGTATTGTGTAATCCACATTTAAATATATTTTATACTTTGAAGCAGAAAAAACAGCTCATGTATGTACTTCAATCCCAATTATGCAGTCTTCAATTCACACCTCAAAAACAAATACGAAGAATTCAATAAGCATGGTAATGCCATACGTACAAGGTCGTTTATGACCTACAACTAAATAAAAATGTAAACATCCCGCGAATTGTCTATATTTTTCATGGTAACACATTGCGATCATTCCGAGTTCCGACAGTAGCATTTCACTTCTACGCGTTTAGCGGCACACTACGTGTTGATCAACTGTTGATCAACTAATAAAATCAAAAGATATTTTATTTTAATTAAAATAAAAGTGACAGTGAAATTATAAATTTGCAAGAACAGCAACACGAAACGCTTGGGTTCTATAGAGGTTTGAAAAAATTCAAAATGGCCGTCTCGTATGCAGTTTCGCGCGTTTTGAGACGCGCCTCGCCGATTTTCGTTCAGAAACGACACGAATCGACAATGGCCAGTTTCACGAAAGACGAAATAATGATTTTACTTAGACCCCCGTTCTCGAACTGGAGCAACGCCATCAGGGACGCCGAGAAAGTGGTCGGCTATCCAACGTCTTTTATGAATCTTAGATGCCTACTGAGTGACGAATTCGCCAACCTAGCTCTGTATTTGAGGAAGCTGGTGAGTTTTTATCATCATATTCTTGTACTTGTCTTGTCTATGGCACTAAGTTTTTTTTATTACTTAGATGGGTGGACGAGCTCACAGCCCACCTGATGTTAAATGGTTACTGGAGGCCATAGACATCTACAACGTAAATGCGCCACCCACCTTGAGATATGAGTTCTAAGGTCTCAGTATAGTTACAACGGCTGCCCTTTCAAACCGAAACGCATTACTGCTTCACGGCAGAAATAGGCAGTATGGCGGTACCTACCTGTGCGGACTCACAAGAGGTCCTACCACCAGTAAAAAGTAAGTTATATTAATATCAGGACTACATTTATTTATGCAGTTATTTCGTCTTTTCATCCACCTTTAGCGATGGTCTATCGAGATATTGTACATTGCTTTCCATACACCGTTGCCAGATCTAATAGATAAGAAGGCCAAAGTTTCAACTGTATAACGATTGTTCCATCTTCCAAATGTAAAAGAATATTCTTCTCCGCATACTTATGAAGAACAGTTATGCTAACTAGTGTGACACCGGAAACTTAAGCCCACAAACAAAACTCACGATGTTTCTCGCCAGATATTCTCAGTGGGTCGCGATTCCGATTCGGTGATAGATTTTGCGAAGCACGGCTCTTGCTAGGGTTAGTGTGGGTAAATTTAGTTAAGTTGAGCCCGTGAGCTCACCTATTCGTCCGCGCGTATCTGGAATAGTCCCTTCAGCTGCTTTCAGACTACGCTATACTATAGTACCATGTCGTATAGCAGTAAGCCAATAATATATAGTACAGTACAGTGTGAACGTGTCCTTAACAATGTATGGTGCGCGATATTGTTGTGCTATGAACTATATACTATACGCTCACGGATCCATCAGATCCAATAACCTTTTCATTAGACGCCTTCAGCTCTAACACTAGGAGCAGACTTAGAAACTCCGGCAACCGTACTCGTCGGAACTCGAGAAAGAGGTCGACGTGCAACCTAACCCATGCATCAGCCCGCTGAGTTTCTCGCCGGATCCGGTAGTAGATTCATTCGCGAAGCAATTGCTCTTGAGTTGTTAGGTCTCCTTCGGAGGCGCTCGAACAGTTGTTAGCAAATCCCGGCTGCTGTTAGCAAATCCCCTCCTGGCTGAGCCTTTGCTCGCCCACCTGTCCTGGTGAAACTAGAAAGGCCTCCGGGCCACCAGTAATCTTTCAATCATAAAAAAAAACTATACGCTATTATATTATTGCGTAGTCTGAAAGCAGTTTGAGGCTACCAGCGGATAGGTAGCGAAATGAAACCGAATTCGCAGCCAACCGTCACTTAAGCTAATTCAGCTCACCGACTACAATTTTTGAAGTGAAACTTTTTTAGGCGCATCAGGGTAAAATTTTTACAGAACGTCAGGCAGGTATGCAACGGAAGTGACATCAAACTACTATTGAAATTAAGTACTTGTCAAATGTCAGTAGTATTTGTTGTTGTATTTTTCCAACTGAAAAGGTAAATGTATCATACCATACAGCCTAATATTTTATAATTTTTTTGTAAAAAATGTTAATAGGAATTGAAATGAAATGAAAAGAATTTGGAACATTAATCAAATAGCATGAAATTAAATTAGTCAATTCAATTGGCAAAATATTAGTCATTTACAATTTAGAAATCTAAACATAATGTGACTGTCAACACTGAGGTTTGAGATTGACATTTGACAGTATTTTGGCGGGAACATATCTTACTTTTTTCCTTCCTCTAAGTCTCGGAAATCTAAAGTTTTAGATTTGTATAAATATAAGCAAGACTTATAAATTAGTTCGCCAAAAAAGTTTCACTTCTGACATGTGTACTTTGTAAGCACGCACTTTTTTTTTTCGTAAATTTGTACTCGATTATTTTCTTATCGATTCCTGGCTCAAACTAAATTCAGGATGTATCTTTAAAATAGACCAGAGTCACGATCGTTGTTCAAGGCGACCCCACAGCCCCGTGAAAGCGTATTAGTCACTTTACTTTCCCTCGTAAACCGGAACTCGTGAACCGGTTGCTGGAATATACGAATAACGATGCTTCATCCTTAATCTTGGAACGCGATAGCTTTATCGTTTTTTTGTATTTTTTTATAATTATAAATTTTTAAGATTTTAATATATGTTGATGTGTGTACGCAATGTAGAGGTCTGCCGTAATCAATATAAGTTTTTAAGACTATAATTAACAACATATTTGTTGGGTACGCAGCACGTCACCCGTGTCGATAAGGCGAGTGACGCCAACCCAGGTTGGACGGGTTTATGAATCTTATAAGATTTCTTGAAATCCTATAAGACGCCGGATGCCCGTCTCGTGGCGATTATTCGTGTCGATCTGAAGCAGTCAATGTAGGGTCCTGAGGTGTACGATATCGTACAAGCTCACTCGAAATTAAAACTCAAAACTTTACTAATTAACGTAAACCGAGCCGACCGATCTGTCAATACAACCGAATTCAATAACCGACGATCTTTTCAATGGTCTTCAAGTCTTCAATAAATATCTTCGAGGCGCTGATGTCTTTACTCGTGCTTTTTTTATGTAATCTTCGTTCGGAGGGTCGGCGGCCGGCGGTTGGCAGGTAGTCGGTCGAGGGTCGGTCGGTAGGTCGGCAGGTACCTGACAGCGTCGCAGGGTCGCTTAACTACCTCGGAATGTTACCCTACAGAGATCTCGTGTAAAATACGGCTCTCGTCGAGATCATTTTCACTATGATCGGCTCGGTTTATTCGTTATATCTATTTATTTAATAAATGTATATACTAATGCCTTATACTTAACTATTCTATGTTGTAATCCCTATCGATACATATAACTTATTCTATGCTTAATCTATATGACGCGCCCGTATAAACAAAATACCCGGTCCTGAACACAGATAAATGCTGTTTGTTACATGGTTTCGGGACGCGGGCCGGACGCGTGTTCACTTATGTTAATATGCTAATCTTTAAACTATCGGGAATAATAAGGCAAAAGTGTATACTATTTATTACAAAGCAACTTACGTTCTATTCTTAGTGAAATATATGTGCACGTTATCTATATCCTTATCTATCTATATGCACTCTATATAATTTATCTATTTGTTATAACTCTATGTCTATGTAACTCTATGTCTATATACGTATCTATATAAATCTATTATAAATTCTATTCAATATTCTATTATATTCTTCAACTTATTCTATAATTATGGGGCGACGCCGCTGTCGCCAACAATATTATTATATCAATGGCAGATCTGGTCAATTACTTTCAAAATTTTATTTTTTTAGCATTTTCAAAGTGGTCTGCCACAAAGTAAAATGCGCGATAATGGTCTGCCATTCTTATTTTCTGATAATAATAATCATATATTTTCAAAATTTCAAAACGGCAGACGTGGTCAAATGGATTTAAAATCCGTCAAAATCGGTACCTGTCCTACGTGAGCGCTCGGCGCATCGACCACTTTGAGCTTAGTGAGTCCCCACCTCATGCATGGTAGGTATAGGGGTCTCAATGTACGAAAATTCAGGTCTGGTCAAATACATACAGGTAGAGCTCACGGGCTCTTGGGCTATATTCTAAACGTATTTAGATCTTGATTGAAAGGAGGTTCAGCGTGCTTAGTGCGAGTTTTTTGACGTTCTCGATAAGGTTTTTTTTTTTTTCCTACCTAAGCTGGTAGCCTTGAAAGGCTATTACGTAACCTTAACTAGTAGGTGAGCTCACGGAGCTCAAACCTGACGACGTTGCTAACACGAACCCTAGCAAGAGCCGTGCTTCGCAGAATCTACCATCGGATCGGAAACGCGACCCACTGAGAAGATCCGGCGAGAAACTCAGTGGGCTGTGTCTGAGGGTTAATTTACTCGTCGAGCCCTTCGTTAGTGGATCAGGGGGATCCGAAATGACGTGTTTTGGGCGACGTCGACTGCTTTCCATTCTTTCCGCAGGATCGGGAATGTAGTTACCGNGAAGCAAGAGCCGTGCTTCGCAGAATCTACCATCGGATCGGAAACGCGACCCACTGAGAAGATCCGGCGAGAAACTCAGTGGGCTGTGTCTGAGGGTTAATTTACTCGTCGAGCCCTTCGTTAGTGGATCAGGGGGATCCGAAATGACGTGTTTTGGGCGACGTCGACTGCTTTCCATTCTTTCCGCAGGATCGGGAATGTAGTTACCGGCGGCCACGATGAGAGGGTTCTCGTGTCGTGCCGCTTTATCGAAGTGGCGCATCGACGCCGACTGTAAATACTAGATAGCGTAAAAGTTAACTCAAATATGTATGCAGTTGGAACAACGCCTCTAGCGGCAAACGTAGGCAAACCTTACAACTCCATACAAATATGAGTTAACTTTTACGCTATCGAGAACATTTAAAATACTCGCACTAAGCACACTGTTTGTTAATGCGTCACGAAATTTTTAGTATAAGTTCTTCGATCAAGAATACTACTATAAGTTAGATGTTGAATCGTGCGTCGATATTTTAAGCATGTCATTTTCGACTGGCGGTAGGACCTCTTGTGAGCCCGCGCGGGTAGACACCACCAGCCCACCTATTTCTGCCGTGAAGCAGTAATGCGTTTCGGTTTGAAGGGTGGGGCAGCCGTTGTAACTATACTTGAGACCTTAGAACTTATATCTCAAGCTGGGTGGCGCATTTACGTCGTAGATGTCTATGGGCTCCAGTGACCACTTAACACCAGGTGGGCTGCGAGCTCGACCACTTATCTAAGCAATAAAAAAAAAAGATATTCGTCAAACATTTGTTGAGTAAGTATTTGAAAACAAAACAACAAAAAATGTTATCTGTCTGTTGGATTTGAACCCCGGCACAATCGCATCGGTCTATACCGACGTCTTATCCGTTGGGCCACGATGACTTAAAATGCGCTAAAATACTATATTGTTTTTTTTTTCTTTATTGATTGTGGTAGTTGATTATCTGGCTAATAATAATAAATTAGTACACAATTTGATTCACAGGTCGGCAGCAATCATCTGGTGATGCAAACCGCAAAAAACGTCCTGTACGGCGACTCTAAGAACTTGCAGCCGTGGGGCCTGATCATCCTCTTACTGGCCAAATCGATCAGGGCCCAGTCCAAGAAAGCTGAAGAACAGACGAGAGTACTGGCTGAGCTGACGGAGATGATACGAACCGGCCACTTGATACACAAGGGCATCATCAATGTCCCTTTCGCGAAACGTTCAAAAGACACTGAAACCGCGATATTCGGCAATAAAATCGCTATACTTCTCGGCGACTATCTACTGGTGACCGCCAACGCTATGTTAGCAGAGCTGAGGAACTCCGACGTTTCTTATATAATTTCTACAGCGCTTAAAGATCTCTCGGAAGGAGAATTCTTCGGCGAAAGGGACGAACAGAACATGCCGTTGCCGGGAAGACCTAAAACGCACGACGGCTTGGAGATAAACTTTGACACGGACTCCATTACGGTCGACGAGGTATTAGGGAAGTCCCGAAAGGAATGGACGGCTAGGACAGTGTTCAATGGAGTCAGCCTTTTGGGTAGGGGCTGCCAATCGGCCATGGTCCTTGACAAACAAGGGCGTGACATCCAAAAGTATGCTTACCATTTCGGTTGCCACGTGGGTCTGGCCTGGCAGGCCGCTACGGAACTCCAGAAATTGACCTCCGATTCCAGAGGTCACTTCTGTCTGGCAAGCGCTCCGGTTCTTTTCGCCTTAGAAATGAATCCGGATCTGTACAAGATCATCGATCAAGCGAAAAACGACGTTAAAGACGTCGATTACGAAGATTTGAAGTTCAATATCCTGAAAACGGACGCGGTCGACAAAACTAAAATGCTCTACGAGGATCACGCGAAGAAAGCCACCGCTTACATAGAGAACATAGGACAGAACGAATCTGTGGATATGATCAAGAAATTGATTAACACATTCTGAACTGGTATCACGGAGGCATTAATTTTTTGTAATACATAAGGCAGAGGAACTTCGTCTCCTAAAAGGTGACGTAACACAGGGCGCAAATAGACAACACCAAAAAAAAATAAAGAAAATTACTCTCTACCATAGATAATGTCTTCGACTTTTTGGCGGGAGACCGAGAAGCGATGTTGTGTGAATTGTTTTTTTTTATTTTTTATTTAGTATTGCTCCAGATTTAAGTACGAATTAATGGTGGCTTATTAACCGATTAGCATCTGTGTATTGGAGGTGGACCACGTTGGAGGTGGCTTCGTGGGTTCAAAGACCCCTGAAGTCTCAATAAATATCCATAATTTTACTGCGACGTTATTTCCTCTCACCCGTTTCATTCCAATTCATTCGATTTCATTACAATGGATTACAATTTTAAAAATTTTGAGGGTAGTCATCATTGAACCTAAGATATTTGACAGATTTCCCCTCCACGGTGTTTCCCGAGCGCTATGACATGTCCTTCTTCAAACCATGCTTGTGGAGAGTATTAAGCGGTAGGAAGCGGCTTGGCTCTGCCCCTGACATTGCTGAAGTCCATGGGCGACGGTAACCACTCACCATCAAGTGGGTCGTATGCTCGTCTGCCTAAAAGGGCAATAAAAAAGAAAAAGACACCTGAGTCTCGCTAACAACATTTCCAAAATAAGCTTGCATATACAAAAGTTCCGATACAAAACAATAACAAAACAAGCCAATATCTGTCAATCAGTTTCTTTTTTCATAATAATATGTGTTATATAAAAACATAAATATATAACAGATAACTGTAGATTTTTATTAATACGACGCTGAAGAAAATGGCCCTGCAAAAAAATTGTTTTATTGCTAGATTGGTGGATAAGCTCACGGTCCACCTAGTGTTAAGTGGACACTCAAGCCCAAAGACACCTACGACGTAAATGACGCCACCCACCTCGAGACCTAAGTTTTTAGGTCTCAATTTTTACAGTACAATGGCAATGAGTTCTAAGTCTTCAATTCGACAGTGGAAACATTGCCCCACCCTTCAAACTGGAACGCATTGCTGTTTCACGGCAGAAATAAGCTGGGCGATGGTACCTTTTTTTTATTGCTTAGATGGGTGGACGAGCTCACAGCCCACCCGGTGTTAAGTGGTTACTGGAGCCCATGGACATCTACGACGCAAATGCGCCACCCACTTTGAGATATAAGTTCTAAGGTCTCAAGTATCAACGGCTGCCCCACCCTTCAAAACCGAAACGCATTATTGCTTCACGGCAGAAATAGGCAGGGCGGTGGTACCCACCCGCGCTGACTCACAAGTTGTCCTACCACCAGTAATACCCGTACAATTTTCCAAGCTGCCTACCACCAGTAATATACTCTAATAAAACAATGAAGTGAAAGTATTCAGAAAATTCTGCAGCACTTTTTCGATCTGATTGATGACCCTATGTTCTAAAATCGCGTATTATTTCACGGAGATATAGAGCTTCATACAAAACACCATCAAATTAACGCGACCCCACACTCAACTATACGCTTCGTCGGCATTATCCTTGACCGAAAAACCAACACTACCATGCAGCTAACCATCCCATTATAATAATCACATGCACAAGCAATTTGATGGTTTCTTAATACACTTTAAAGAATTGTCGTAGTGGGTAAGTTGACCTCTTTTTTGCCTACCTATCTGCCAGTTGTCGCAAACCAAGAAGACGGCAGGATGGAAATTGAAATTACGTCTGGACCCTTTTGAATAAGAGTAGCAGCAGACAGACAGCAGTGGAGAGAGTTGGAGGAGGCCTTGCCGAAAAAGGCATTTGTAGTATAAGTATAGATCTTACCTTAATATGTTATTTTTGTAAAATATATTTTGTTTTTTTGTTAATCTACTTTATATTGCCAAACAAGAACATCCGTAAAAACCACTGTAGATTTATATATTAGTATAGATATAGATACAGCGACAATAAAAACCCCGGGATTAAACTCCAAATGTAGTTTTAATTGTGCCTACGTCACGCAAAAACCGAAGAAAACCCTACACTTTTTATATCGGTTAGATATCAATCACTTTTCTCGTGTACCTAAATTTTGTATATGACTTGTTAACACGATAGAATGACTAGCAATTCATGATGTTTGTCGTTAATGTTAGATGTTGACTCACTGAAAGACACGTTACATCATACGTCAAATATTTGTACCATAGTTTATTATAAATTAGATTCAATACTCAAGCGAAGGTCGGGATATAGTTAGCCTCGGAATGTGACTAAACCATATACTTGTGACGGTAGATATGATTGAACACAAGATATTTGACAGAAGCCTGAATTTCGGTAATTCGATGTTTTCAAGATGAGCTTACATGCAAGTTCCGATTTGGACCATCCCACACCCGATCCTGGGTTACCGAATGGTAAACAGTCGCCATCACCCTAAACACGTCATTTCGGATCATCCCGATCCATTATCGGTGCTTACTAGTACCTCAAGCACCAGTCATCATCCTTTTTCCTGGTGGTAGGACCTCTTGTGAGTCCACACGGGTAGGTACCACCACCCTGCCTATTTCTGCCGTGAAGCAGTAATGCGTTTCGGTTTGAAGGGTTGGGCAGCCGTAGTAACTATACTGAGATCTTAGAACTTATATCCCAAGGTGGGTGGCGCATTTACGTTGTAGATGTCCATGGCCTCCAGTAACCACTTAACACCAGGTGGGCTGTGAGCTCGTCCAAACATCTAAGCAATTAAAAAAATAAAAAAAAATCGTAGAACCCATCGATTGCGAAGAAGGGTTCGGCGAGTAAATTAACCCACAGACACAGCCCACTGAGTTTCTCGCTGCATCTTCTCAGTGGATCGCGTTTCCGATCCGCTGGTAGATTTTGCGAAGCATTTCTCTTGCTAGGGCTAGTGCTAACGTCCAGTGCCGGATTAACCATATAGCAAGAGTAGCAATTGCTACGGGCCCCGCACGAACGGGGGCCCCGCATATTTAAACCCACTCATCTCTGCTCGAGTTTAATTTTTTGAGTGACTTATTAAGAAAAAGTTGTTTGTATAAACGTGTAGAATTTCAATCTGCCTGATAATCAGCTCTACAAAAAGTCTGACGTATGCAAGCACTCTTACCCGACACAGTGTGGATATGTAGCAGAATTGAGATGGCTCGATTTAAGTTGTTAAAATTATATATTTATTTGTAAGATTAACAGTCACAAGGAACACTATGAGTCAAGAACGTCTGAATTATGTCGCTTTGATGAATATAGAACATGATTTGCTCAGTTACTGGTGGTAGGACCTCTTGTGAGTCCGCACGGGTAGGTACCACCACCCCGCCTATTTCTGCCGTGAAGCAGTAATGCGTTTCGGTTTGAAGGGTGGGGCAGCCGTAAATATAAAACATAAAGATTATTTAAAGTAAACCATTGATAAAATATAACATTAGCTATTCCTAAAAAGATAATATACTTTGCATTAAATATCAACTTTGAAATAAGTATTGAAAAAAAAATTTGTGTAGTATCATCAGTTTTCAATTGTTAGTTTCTTATCAAAATTATTCTATATAGCCAGAAAATCTGATCTCTGGCTTTTTGTACTTGTCAGAGCCTAACAGCACCTATAGTAATTTACTAAATAATTTAATTGTAACCTATAGATGGCAAATAAACGTATAGACTATTGATTTGTTTTTTTACCACTTTATACTTAAGAACCCATAGTAGATCAGAGGCTCTTTGAAATAATTTGTTACGGGCCCCGCGCTTGCTTAATCCGGCACTGCTAACGTCCTCAGGTTAGAGCTTACCTAGCGAGCCGTGAGCTTACCTACTCGCCCGGTTACGCTGGCATAGCTCCCAAGGTTATCAGCTTAGAACGAAAAAAAAACCAAACGGATCACCCCTTTCGGTACACCCTTAAACTAGACCTGGAAGGTTAAGTACCTGGGAGTCATCCTGGATGGATCCATGCCATTCCGCCCCCACATAAAGTCTCTCCGCCACTGCGCTGCCTTTATCCTTAGCAGACTATAACTATATTATAAATACTATGTAACTATACTTGAGACCTTAGAACTTATATCTCAAGGCGGGTGCCGCATTTGCGTTGTAGATGTCTATGGGCTACAGTAACCACTTAACACCAGATGAGCTGTGAGTTCGTCCACCCATCTAAGCAATAAAAAATAAAAACTATTTTATCCCATAAGGTATATTCTTAGGTAGGTAGTAATCCCCTTGTAAGGACAATAAGTTTTGTAAAGTGAGAGCAAGTTTTGTAGAGACCTAGAGACCAAGACCTATAATGACATACGCGAGTGTGGTTCGCACCAACATCGACACCCTTCAATCCATCCAATACCATTTTCGCAGGCTAGCCGTCGGAGCACCGTGGCTCGGAACTTCGAGCTATACGACGATCTAGTCCTAATTAGAGTTGGAACGGTACTTCGATATGGTCTTTTTTTATTCGGGGAAGGGATTGATCCTCCTACGAACTTCGATAAGGCCATGGGTCGTGATAATCGCCTCATAGTTGCTGCCGCAGTAGTCAGTCACCGTCGACGCTCTAGACAGATCCTTACGGATCTATCAGATCCACTAACTCTAACATTAAACGCCTTCAGCTCTAACTCTAGGAACAGGCTTAGGGACCCCGGTAAGCGTACTCGTCGAACTCGTCGAACTCGGCAAAGTTTTTATAGTGCAGCCTAACCTATACATCAGCCTGCTGAGTTACTCGCCGGTTCTTCTCGGCGAGTCGCGATTCAGATCTGATAGTAAATACATTCGAGAACCAGTTGTCCTTGAGCTCCCTCAGCGGATTAGTCAGCTGTCAAAAAAATCCCATTCCTCCTGGCTGAGTCTGTGACCGCCATCTGTCCTGGTAAAAATTAAAAGAACCTCCGGGCCACCAGTGATCCTTCCTTAGCAAAAGTCTACCGAGCAATTTCACTCGCTCCGTGGAAGATCTTTCCCTTATCATGACTTCCAAACACCAATTAGTTACAATTAATCAAATTCCTAAAAAAAAGCTTATTAGTCCAATTTGGCAAACAATATCACATATCACCGCGAGAATATATAGGATTATTTGGTTTACCCGTACCCTATGGCACGCTACCCGTATGGAATGTCAATACGTCCTGCTACTTTGGTAAAACTGCTTGCAGTTTGCTGCAATGGTTCGGAAATAAATATTGATTTTAAACGTCCCATACATCCATTGTAACTATATACATCGGATCAACTAAATAGTTATTAAGTTTGTCCTTAGAGTTCACAGGTATATGACTTACGTAATAAAGGCGCTTCCCACAGTAAAGATCTGAGGTCTAAAGTCTGAAGAAGACATGAAGTTGTCATCACCGCGTTTCGGGTTTCCCCGAATATCTTCTACTCTGTCGGCTGACGCTACACTGATCATTGTTTTAATATTATGACAGCGGAGAATGACTTTTTTTTGTTCCTACCTATGCCGATAGCCTTGAGAGGCTATTTCTGCTTCTACTTGACGTTTAGGTGAGCTCATGGGGCTCAAACCGGTGTTGCTAACACTGGCCCTAGCAAGAGCAGTGCTTTGCAGAATCTACCACCGGATCGGAAACGCGACCCACTGAGAAGTTCCGCGCGAGAAACTCAGTGAGCTAAAAGAGAATGTCTAATAATGAAACAAACGTAATGAAATTAACAAAGAGTCAACATGACTGCTTTTTACCTTAGCAGAAAACTTTCACCGAGCCAACCTGTTATTTTAATGTGGGCACATTGTAACAAGCAATGTATCGTGAAGTCAGATGACCTCGTACGCCTTTTGTTTTGCGTACATTGCGTACACAAAACCAAATCATACACCATTTTCCGTTTATATTATTTTACTTGCTGGTGTGATTCTTCGAGATCAGTTCCATTACACCCTCTATATTTAATTAAGTATAAAATAAAATTGGCTATCAGAAAAGCGTGAAATATTTCACGCGGCTTTGTGATCTCTCGTGTAACACTGCCCAAGTAAGCCACTCCTATAACTCAGTGAATCTTCTTTACGTCTTCGACAACGTGGATCAAAGAGTTCAACCGCCATTGAAGCCAGTAGAACATCAAGCACATAGCTGCGACATAAAAGTGGAGCAGATAAAAATGTATCGTTCCTTGAACTGCTTTGAAGATCGGGTACAGCCAGACGCCGTGCTCGTGATAAGTGAAATGTAACCTGAAACAATTTTATTTATTCATTAATAACTGGTAGTTTCGGATATCATGCTGCAACGCCTTATCGAAGTACCTTTCCGACGGTCGAAGTGTCAATCAGCTCTTAATAATGTAAAAGCAAATTTTCTAAGATCACCTTGGCCCAAAGGATATGACACCCGGTGTATCCATCACAAGTTTTTCTTTTCTACAACTGAGATAAATTTAAAGGTGGGCGGCGGTCTATGGATACCACTTAACACCAGGTTGGTCGTGAGCGCTTCACCGCTCTATGCATTATAAAACTAATGATAATGTTCACCACAATACCAGGCGCGAAGCTAGGATCACCGGGGCCTAATGGATAAGACACAAATAGCAATCGTGTCGAATGAATCAATTATGCCGTAGTTCGAATACCAGCTTCCAATATTCCTAAACATATGCCTTACACGAGGAAAAACAATAAAGAAAATCACATCATCTAATTATGATGATCTGCAAAACTGCCTATTGGGGGTCGGGCGTAATGTGAGTGAGGTCGTGTGAGAATATCACCAATTTTTAAGGCTTAAAGGTTTGAGCACCTGTGAGCCAATATATCGAAGCACCTGAATCGAGATTTCAACAGCTTTGAGTGTTAGGCTTTGCTTTGTTGAGGCTTGCTAATTAAAACCTTAATTGTGAAACAAGTTCAGATACTCCTCATCCGTATTTATCAGTGCTGAGCCGAGAAAAACCTTAATGTCTCTGTCGCGCGTAGGTCTTAATTACAGTTCGATTTCATGCAGAAAAGAAATGAATATATATTTAAGATTCATTCAATACAATTGGTGATTCAATAGCAATTGAAAATTCCAGGTTCTGTCTCGAGTCTTTACATTGTGATCTTCAGGGAAGATCGTAGCCAAATAATCCGAAGTACCCTGGAAGCTAATTCAAACTCAAACCTTTTACGGGCCTCGACCGAAATAATATTTGGCCATAATACTCACACGAAGACGTACGCCAACATGTGTATCGCCAGTTGCGCGATATTCCTGTAGTGGCTTTTTGGTTTCCTTGGCCGAAACATCACCTCCCAGACCACGACCGGAACGATCATTGTATGTATGACGTGGTTAGACAGACGCGTCACGATCTTGTCCAAGTAAGCCGGGAATATCAGGCTTCTGTCGTAGTTGAATAAAGTCCAAAATACAGTGAAGACTACCTGAAAAATGAGATCTCGCTTAAATATCGTCGATTTATCGGCAATGCACTGGAGATTTCGACCCGATACGTGAAGTCGTGCCGGCGACGACTGATGTCCACTACGTTAACACTAACCGTGCCAGGTCAAATGACCGGTTTTAAAATAAAATTTTAGATGATAAGCTCTAAGAGTGTAAGTAAGGCTATTTGGTTTCAGCGACATTTTGCTTAATACGCGACTTTTATCTTGGTAAAGGTGCGTTTTTATTAAAAATTTTTATTCCTTAGCAGGGTGGACGATCTCGCGGCCCACCTGAAGCGGTTACCGGAGCCCATAGCATATACAACGTAAAATCCGCCACTTAACTTGAGATATGAGTTCTAAGGTCTCAGTATAGTTACAACGGCTGCCCCACCCTTCAAACCGAAACGTATTACTGCTACACGGCGGAAATAGGCAGGGCGGTGGTACTTACCCGTGCGGACTCACAAAAGATCCTACCATCAGTAAATACGCAAATTATAATTTTTGTGGGATTGATTTTTATTACACGATGTTATTCCTTCACCGTGGAAGTCGATCGTGAACATTTGTTAAGTACGTATTTCATTAGAAAAATTGGTACTCGAACACCGGTGCATCGCTAGATACGAATGCACCGGACGTCTTATCCTTTAGGCCAACTATTGTTGATCGAAGGCCCATGACGACTTGTGAATCTGGCTGTGTCATTACCGAACCTTTTTGAAGGATAATCAATATGTACCTACCCAAGTAGACGGCCATACCAGACCAGCGAACATAATTTCCCGCGACGAACCCAAATATTTAGGTAATCTATAGTTCTTTTTGTGTTTATTTAGTAGCACCAGAAGATCGCAGAGTGTACCCAGCGCCGCATATCCTATCTGTAGACCCTGAAACAGAATCGAACACATATGAAATCGGAATCACTGAATATTGTGTAATGATAGGTTGGGAAAAAAGATTCATCGCATTTTTTAAGAAAATTCACATTTTTTGATATAGTATATTTACATTTAACTAAAGTATGTAGGTACCATTTTGTTCGATAACTTTTTGCCATCTTGTAAGTATGGACATGATCTAACTACTCTCACAGACACTGCACTAGGTCCATAAACATTGCAAATTTTTTTCGCGGCTTGCTTTACATTTTTACCTTTTTGTAGTAAAATTTTTAATATGTATCGAATTTTTTCATTAAATGAGTGCTTGACAGTCCGAAAAGTAAAATAAAAATCACACATTTTCCTAATTTGAATTTGGAATTATATTCTTTAAAATTTAAACTTTTAATGGTACCAAAACCAGACAGATACATATTATAAGTTAATATAGCCAAAGAGATTTTATTACAAGTTTATTCTTCTTCTTCTTCTTCTAGTGCCTCTTCAATCCTGAAGGTTGGCCGTTTGCATTCCTGTATTCCTTTCTGTCAGCAGCCAGCCGGAACAGCTGTTCGACGGAGGCAATACCGGTCCACTCCCGGATATTCCGGAGCCATGACTTTTTTCTTCGCCCAGCACGTCTCTTTCCGTCCACTTTGCCCATAATTATCAGCTGCAGCAGCATGTATCGATCGTTCCTGAGCACGTGGCCGAGATACTCTAAGTTTATACTTACTAGGTATAATGCGAAAAGTCTTTTTCCCGAACATATTATATCAGAAACCTTTTTCTTTTACTTTTAGTGAATATTTCTCTGATAAAGAAAATATAGAGCTTACAACACAGATTAATAAGGCACAAGATTGCGGCTTTGGCTCTTGAAACACCTCATTGCACTATTTTACGTTCCCCAGAAAAGCCCACTCCAAGCTTTGCGGGACTCTTTCCTAGCACCATGTACTCGCTAGGTTTCTCACCGGATCTTCTCCATGGGTCGGGATTCTGATCCGATGGTTCAGCGAAGCAATGCTCGAGCTAGGATACCAAGTTCTCTTAGGTTGAATCCCGTGAGCTCGTCACCAATCACGGTGAAGCTAGATTAGCCCCGTGAGGCTACTGGCATACATATACAAAAAAAATTGGTTGTCTGTAAAGTCGGTTTACTGACGATAGTTGAACGTGACAACGTCATAAGAAAATACGGATGGAATGATTTCATTTTTCAATTATCACAATTATCGTTGCTATAAACAATTGACACCACATTCACTTTTCACTGAACTTCATACTTGACGAAAACATGTAAATGTATTATTGTATAGCAGCTGTCCACGCGGATGCATCGCTCACGCGAGGTAACGCCGCATGAGTCATGTTTTTTCGTGCGTGCAGCCGGCTCCATCGAATTATAAGACGTTGTCACGTCAAAAAAGGGTAACAAATCTGTGAACTCACCACCGTCCAAGTAGTAAAATATCGATACTCCATTTTCTTGAAAGTGCCTATTCCGACATTATCCAGGGATTTTTCGCTGATATTAGCCGATAGTATGGTATGCCGCATGTAAATTAGATTGCTGATGTGCATCGCTATTGTGGACACATAGCCGAGCAAGCGAAAGTAAATTTGATAGTTCATTATTGTATTCTGAAAAAATAAGAAACACATTCTTTTTTTATTCATTTACTAGCTGACCCGGCAAACTTCGTAGTGCTTCAATCGATAAATAAAAGACCTAAACTTTTGTATTTAAAAATAAATTTAAAACAAACAAAAGGAAGCCGTGCGACGGGGGACACATCAAAGGAAAAACAAAATTGTTATTTTTGTTTAATTCCGAGCATTTTCATATTTATCTACCTTTTAAACCTTTTCTGGACTTCCACAAATAATTTAAGACCAAAATTAGCCAAATCGGTCAAGCCGTTCTCGAGTTTTAGCGAGACTAACGAACAGCAATTCATTTTTAAATATATAGATATAGATTACATTGGTTTGAATACGTCCGTTGATGTATTTTTAAGACATTTTCTACCGGTCAACCAAAGGTGATGCATTGACAGTAAACGTGGGGTCTTTTGATAAAATTTAAAGGAAATAAATATAGGCATGAAATACTCTAAGATACACACACACAATATACATAAGTGTAAATATATATTTCTGCCAGGATAATACATTAAGACGGGACACGAGTGAAGTCTAAAGACTTGTTGCGAGAGTTCAAATCGGTGATAGAAACCAGCGCTTCCTGGCCCACGCTGGTTCAGGTTCAGGTACGAGTTGGTAGCTTCGTCTATGCTGGTTAATAACCCAGAGTCCCCCCCGTTTAGAGCCATTGATGACTTTTTAATGTGCTCCGCGGTGAACACATCACTTTGCTCTCTGGTGGGTGTTGTTTCAGTCCAGCAGAGGCGAGCCCTAATGATTATCGAAAAATTACTCGTATCGGCATCCAGTGTGCTTAGTGCGAGTTTTTTAACGTTCTCGATAGCGTAAAAGTTAACTCATATTTGTATGGAATGGGATCGTTTGCCTGCGTTTGCCGCTGGGGGCGTTGTTCCAACTGCATACAAAACTGGATTAACTTTTACGTTAAAAAACTCGCACTAAGCACACAGAAAAAAATTATAGAATTTAAACAGCGCCCCTACCGTCCGTAAAAAGAGTTAATTTTAGCAGCACCAATGAATTTATTTACTTTCGTTTGGCAATCAAATCGTCACGATCGACATCAACCCCACGAAAAGCACAGCGGTGCTCTTCAAAAGGGGTCGCCCTCCGAATACCACTTCGAACATCCCACTCCCTAATAGGCGCGCAAACACCTCCGCCTTTAGCCCCATCACTCTCTTTCGCCGGCCCATACCGTGGGCCTTGAAGGTCAAATACCTAGGCGTCACCCTCGACAGAGGGATGACATTCCGTCCCCACGTTAAAACGGTACACGACCGTGCCGCCTTTGTACTAGGACGTCTCTACCCTATGCTTTGTAGACGAAGCAAGCTGTCCCTCCGCAATAAGGTAACTCTCTACAAAACTTGCATACGCCCCGTCATGACGTATGCAAGCGTAGTGTTCGCTCACGCGACCCGCACCCACTTGAAACCCCTTCAAGTCATTCAATCCCAATTCTGCAGGATAGCCGTCGGAGCACCATGTTTCCTGAGGAACGTGGATCTCCACGATGACCTGGAGCTCGACTCAGTTAGTAAGTATCTACAGTCGGCATCGCTGCGCCATTTTGAGAAGGCGGCACGACATGAGAACCCTCTCATCGTAGCCGCTGGAAACTACATACCCGACCCAGTAGACCGAATGGTAAACCGTTGACGTCGCCCAAAGCACGTCATTACAGATCCTCCTGATCCATTAACGGTGCTTTTAGGCACCACAAGCACCGGTCACCGTCCTCGTCGAACCCGTCGCTTGCGATGAAGGGCTCAAAGAGCGAATTATCCCATAGACACAGCCCACTGAGTTTCTCGCCGGATCTTCTCAATGGGTCGCGTTTCCGATCTTTTTTTTTTTTTTTTTTTTTT